CGTATACCCTCACATGGCTTCAGGCTCATACACTGTTCCCGGGACTATGCATGATAATTCATACAGTCATGTGGGACCGGTTCAATCAACCGGGTTTAGGATAAACCGGCAACATCCCCGAGATGATTTTGTACCTGCAGCGACTCTTAGACACCATGGACTGCCTAACTTTAGATCAATTCCTGCAGATGTAATATCCTCTTCAGCACACTTTTCATCTTCTAGTGTCAGTTTGTTCAAGAGTATCTGCTCTCTAATATTGGCTTCTTTTTAATGCTAATATGTGTAGGAAGTTGCATTTTTTGAGGAAGGAGACTTCTACGATGCTGTTAATTATGTCGATCATCATCAAGACATGCGCTTGGACATAGAGCACATGTCATATGAGGTGAGTCCACATTTACTCTTGACCAAACAGCTAATCACATTAGCCCACCATTACTCTTCACAATATAGATATTTTAATGAATTCAAATTGGTTTTACTTATCTTATAACATTCAAAACCTGGGTGGCGCAGGAGCTTCTTGCTTTGAGCGACCAGATTGGAACTGTGAAGACTGGCTTGTCAGAAGAAGAAGTTAAATATCTTCTGAAAAGAAGAACCTCGACCAGAATCAACCTGGAAGAAGCTCCATCCAGCGATCCAGAAACCGATTCTTGCACGATATGCCAGGTAAAGCCAAGAAATCTTGAGACTGCATCCTCTAAGCTTATGTAAACATTCACACACGCTAACTCTCGTCTTTTTTTTTAATGGGGAATGGACAGGAAAACTACAAGAACCAAGATAAGATCGCAACGTTGGATTGCAGGCACGCGTACCATTCAGAATGCTTGAAGAAATGGTTGGTTATCAAGAACGTTTGCCCAATCTGTAAATCAGAGGCACTGGTCATGGAGAAGAAGAAGGTACGGTAAAGCATAGGAGAAGTTACCGGCAGATGGTTTTTTTTTTTCGGACTTACTTTTATCTATCGGTTTTATAAGAGAAACAGAGTCAGGGTAAGGTTCAGCCCCCAAATTCTGTATATTTGTACTTTTGTGCACATAATTTGTGTTAACAGTCTAAAGCTGAGGTTGGCTTAGTGACTATGAAAACTGTACAGGCTTCTTTGGTTCTTTGTACATTTGTTTGCTCCTCTTTAGTTTCTTTTGCTCTCTTCATCTAAAGTATCTTTCCTTTCTTTGCTCGTAGATTTTTAGAATATGATTACGTAAAATAGTTAATGCATTATAAGGATCTGAGAAACTTACACCAAATGAAGGAAAGAGAAGCAACCAAAAGGAAATCACAAGGCAGAATCATCTGTATATCTTCCATAGGTAATCAAACTATATAGTTTCCTAAGAAACAAAATGGCTGAATAGAGATCAACTTGAGCAGCATCCGACCTTCTTGATCTCAGAAACATCGTCTTTAGACCCGACATTGATACTCTGTCCTTTAGGAAGAGTAGCCGGATCATCTCCTATATCGAGCGCTTTCTTGCTTGCCACACGGTATATTTGAGAAAGCACTTCAGTGAAAGCATTTTCGACATTCAGTGCTTCGAGTGCAGATGTCTCCATGAAGAAAGTGTTCTCTCTCTCAGCAAAGCCTTTGGCGTCTTCGGTTGAAACAGCTCTTAGGTGACGTAGATCCGCCTTGTTACCAACAAGCATGATCACAATGTTGGCGTCTGTGTGGTCTCTAAGCTCCTTCAACCATCTCTCAACATTCTCAAACGTTACATGCCGAGTAACATCATAGACAAGCAAAGCCCCTACAGCTCCTCGATAGTATGCACTTGTGATTGCTCGATATCTTC